CCCTCCCTAGATCTGCCAGTGACTGTGTGACTCAATGCAAGACAAGACCAAAACAAACTTCTTTAGTAGCAGAGAGACTGCTTAATGTTCTGATTTTTATGATCCGACGCAAAAAAGAAGACGGGGAAAGGCATGAAACAAATCATCACCAAACAAATTATGTCGCAGGGGCTTGCGAGCAGCAGATTTGTGCAGGAAATTACGCCCAGCAGCAATGAAAATCCAAAAAAAAAAAAATGAAAGTTCTACCTTGGCCAAAACTTTTGCACTTTCCAAGCTATCAACAATTTTCGCTTGAATATCTGGCAGTAGTTTTTCAATTTCATCGATTTCCTTTGCATTCTCCTCTTCGGCTCCGTCCGATACCTTCGTTTTCATTTGTGCTGGAACAAATGTCGTCAAAAACCACTCGTTACAGATGCTCCAAAACAACACGAGTTTATGGGCGGGGCTGCATTCCGCATCCGCTAATTTCAGGATAACCTTATATACCAAAACCGTTTTTGAACATAAGGCAAGAATAATGGCAAAATTTCTAAAACATTTACAGATAATGCAAATACATCGAACAGGAGATGATATTAGCTGCAGACACGCAGCTCAGGATCGTACAACCTGGCACAGCTGTACTGCTATAGGATCATCCCAGTAACATCATTAACTGATTGTTTGAACAAGTACTTTGTGTTCACATGGTTCCCGTAAATTATTGTCTCTCTGTTTTGTTTCTTCGCTTCCTCTTGCCCACTCCCTGACCTTCCCCAGTTTTTCTTGTTTTTTACTTCCTATCCGAATTTTTACAAGTTAAATTTGATAAAACGAATACCAAAATTCAATCAAAAATGCTTTATCTCCCGAAAAATAGGGGCTGATATCTGACCAAAAAAAAAGAAAAAAGTTAAATTTGATCAAAAAAAAAAAAACATTTGCTGACGATCGTCCGAAGGGGTCTCAAAAATTTGGAGGAAGGCGAATGGTCAATTATGTAAAGTAGTTCTGGGCATTGGGACGTAATTACATTTGCCAGAGCAAAAAAAAGAAGTTGAAATAATTCATAAAACTCACTCAATTTCGACTCCAGCAATTCCTTTGATTTTTCAAACATTTTGACTGCATTTGCAAAATCGTTGGTAAAACTGAAGACATATCCTTTCATGAAATAAGCGTGTGCCAAATTGCGATCGTTCGGTTCGAAAATGCTTTGCATTAGTGCAATGCATGCATCAATATCTTTCGTTGCCAGCTGATAATTCTCCGCATCAACTGAGCAATTCACCAATTCAAGCAGCACATCCACTTTCTTCTCTTTCCAACCCGGCTCATCCAAATGTCTGCAAACAAATACCAAGCTACACGTATGCCTCTCATGGCTCGAAGACACGTTTCCGAAAACAAGACCATTCATACAACAAAAACAACTCACGGCCCCTACAAATTTAACTACAAAATAAATTTCCTCTAAAATGAGCTATTTTGTAAAGTTAATCAAAAGCCTCAGTCCTTAATGAATGTGAGGTGAGAGATCAAATACAAAATTTGTAAAGCTGAATTCGAACACAATTACTTCGTAGCTTCAGAACTATAGCTTCAAAGTTCCCTCAAAAAATCATGGTGGCAAGTTAAAACGGAAAAAAAATAACTTGTTCATCTACTATTTTCAAAAAGGAGAACCTTCACCGGACCATAATTTCTCAAAACATTTCTAATCCTCAAAATAAACTCGGGCCACGACAAAGCTAAATGTCGGTGACGCAGAAGCAGATTGTCCTTCCTCCTCATAACCATGCTAAAATTCGAAAATGCTAAAAAAATGCAAAATTTTTTTTCCGGCAGTATATTTTTGCTAAATTCCTTATAGACCTGGAAAAAAAAGTGTTTCGCAATATAATTCAATTAGCACCATATCCTTGCTGAATTCTTCATAAAAACACTTTGAAAATTCCTCATGGACACCTCGCATTCCCTAAATAATCCAAAAATCACAAAACAGTTACCTGTCACATATGGCCCGCGCAATTTCTAGGGTTTCCCATGCTCGTTCTAAGTACTCCACATCACTGCTTTCCTCATCGGCACCGTCATCTTCACTGTCTTCCTCATCATCTGCGTTCTCATCCTTTGCCCCCTCCTCCTCCTCCTCTTCATTGACGGTGTCATCCTGTTCGGTTTTTTTCACTGGTTCGTTTTTGAGCTCCTCAACGGCATTTCCATCCCGGGCCGCCTCATTTTCTTCGTGTTCCACTTCCGCTCCTTCCACAGTTGCTTCTTTTTCATCTTAAAACGACACAACGGCAAAATTATGAGAATAAAAAGAATGAAAGAAACGAGCCAAAAAAAGACAAGCAATCTAAACAATAGGTAAAGAAAAAGCCGAACGAAGTACCAGCTGGTCCAAGTATGTCGATTTAAATGTATAAAAACTGTTGAAATTATTACATTTGAGCAAAAGCCAACTGGTCAATGACATGTATATCGCGATGTAAAATGCAAAAACTCTAAAAAAAATAAACTCAAATAAACTCAGAGTTATCTTAAAACTCTAGTTCACTCCTGAACTAGGATCAGTGCTAAGTTGACGGTAACGACCAGGTTGACCTTGGAAGCCTAGATGAAGGGGCAGCAGGTCACAGAATGAAAGAACATGAGGAAAGAAGGTAAGGGTGAGATAAGACGTTTCAGTCCATTAATTCATATACGTCTCTTAACTCAACATCGCGCGATAGGACTTCGTCAGTATGACGGTTGCAGTACTTAATGGAAAAGAGAGAGAAAAGAAGATTGTGGGATTAGGAGTGAGAGTGGGGTGAATTTACGTTGCTTTTTGTTCTTTTAAAAAATGAACAGAAAGAATGAATATGTTTCTGCAGTGCAAACCTTCCGCAACTTTCTATATCAACAAATAAAATCTATCCTTTACCGCTTTTATCAGTTCTCGCCTCTTCCACTG